ATTACTCAAAACAGAAAAACATAAACATTAGTTACTCATCCTCTAATAATGGCGCCATAATGTTTGCTGGGTAGAAAAAACAAAATGAAAGAATAAAGAAAACTCTCTCATTAATCCATTCTCATATAAGCAACAATTTCAAAAAAAAAAAGAAAAATATAACTATGTAACGTTCATATTCATGTTTTTTATTACTTAAAAATTGAAAAAAAGAAACAAAACAAAATGAAATGATAAAATTAGAAATTAGTAAATATTGGAAGTATAAAGTTAATGTAACAAGATCCTCAGAGAAAGGCCGTAGGAAACCCACTATTATTACTTTATGACAAACTCTAAAACAAAGAAGAAAATAGAACAAAACAGAAAGAAACCTGGGTGCAAAGGAAAAATAAACACAGACTTGTATCAAAAAAGGCGTTTACTTATAAATGCCACCACACTCGTATATGCTACGACGAGGGAAGTATATGCAAAATATTATAAACAAAAGTAAAAATTATGCATATACAAAAATATTATTAAAATACTATTTATTATTATTATTATTATATTATGATGATTATTATTATGATAAAGAAACGATAAAACTAAAACGTATATATTAAAGATATATAAAATGAACAGAAAAATATTATTATTGTATTAATAATATATTAATTATTATTATGATTATTAATAACTATGAATACAACAAAAAAAAGGAAAACAATATGACAACTGCAAAAAAAACCAAACACCGTATTCGAATCTAAGATAAACACAAAGCGTAGTTACAAGCCGACAGAAACCCCTCTTGAAAAAAAAACAAAAACCAAAAAATATATAAATATTATAAAATCTGCATTCTTATAAACAATGCAACATAAATACTCTTACATTTTTGAAATTGCATTTAATTAATACTCCACAACAAGTTAAATTGCAATTTCTCTATACATAATAATAAGAAGAATACAAAACCGAAAAAAAAATATTATTAAAAAATCCACTAGTAATAATAACAAACAGATGAAAATGAATAAAAAAAACATACAACAAACAAAAAAAAACACAAATGCTAAATAATAACAACATACAAAGAAGAACAAGAAATTCATTGTTTTTTTGTTTGGTAGTTCCATAAGAGAAAGGTAAGTTCATATATGCGAAATGAATACAGGGTGAGATGAAAAAAACTGCAACAAACGTCAGACTGTGTCATTTATAAGCCACTCGCCCGACAGCTGTCAAAATTATTCCAGTGACTGCTCGTTATATTGTTTACAAGCGTACAAAAGCATTTTGGTGAGATTTTTCCAGAAAAAAAGTTATTCGTGATGGAATTCAAGCGTGATAGTGTGACAAAATGAACATTTCGCTTGTGTGTGTGAGAGAAAACAAAAATGTACATAGAGAAATTTTTGAATACAGCAAGCGGTCGATGCTTGGACAGCGAACACATGTGTGACTAGATAGGTTTTTTTATGAAAATAGAATGAAAATAGTATTTATGTAATTGAATTCTAATCCGAATTATTTAGGAAAATATAAGTATGGAGGTTTTTCAATTAAATTAAAAATACATTGAATTTATATGAAATAACTTCTTTTGTAATTTAATGTTTCAAGAAATTTTTGAATATGTTTATTTTACATTGAAAAATAATATGTGAAAACTTAGTTTGGTTTCAAAAACAAGTAAATTTCAGTTGATTAGGGTTCAAGTGGTTTAAAAATATACGTAATGTTATATACAGGTTGACTTAAAATGGGATGTTTTCCGATGACAATAAAAGGTAATATTAAATTAATATCTTTCTGTTTTTAAAACATGTGTTAACTAAAAAAAGGAGAGAAGAATGTTAAAAAAAGGGTTTGGATTTGAGTTCATTTTCATCATCCGAAACACGCTGCAATATACTAATTAAAAATTAATTCAATTTCAATTATTTAATTTTTTAGATTCATATTAATAAAAAAAATAAAGTAAACCAAATCAACGATATTCAGGTTTCATTTTTGGTCTGGTAATTAAATTTTAGGTCTAGCGTTTTTAACGTATATTCCATTCCCTTTAAATGAATAAGCTCAGCTTTTAAGTGGAGAAACGATGTAATAAAGAGCATAGCAAATATCGAAGAAGTAATTCCTTGCTTGTAATTACGAACCATGTTCCCGAAATATATTAATATTTTTCGTCAATATGTTCTTCAATTACAATATTCTTATTGCAATTTTGGATAAGCATAATACTTTTTAAGTGAGTCACATTTAACCTGTTTCTTTTAAATCACTAAATATTCGTTCGCACAAATATGTTGATGGGAAAAATGCGACACACTTATAAGAAATATCCTTAAGGTAAGGATATTCGGAACGATCAATACTTTTCCAAAATTTGCTAGGTTCTATTATATCCGGTACTTCCATTTCGCTTCTAAGGATAATTAGTTCTGATTGAACATCAAAAAGGAACTGTGAAACGTCGCACGTAAAAGGGTTTTCATATATTTCCATTAAAGGTTGTACTGCCTTAAAATCTTTAAACCTTTCTTGCATAAGTTTGCTAATAATGGAAATATATTCCTCTATTTCGGTAGAATGGTAGCCCTCATACAATTCTGCTGTCTTTGGAAAACTGGAAAAATTGTTTTGTCTTAAATCATGTTTGTGCATGTGTAAATCTTTCTCAAAATTAGCAAGAGTCTTCCAAGCTTCACTTACACTTTTTTCCTTCCCTTGAAGTTTCAGGTTTACTTAATTTACAAGGCTTGAAATATCAGCTAAAAATGGTAGGTTCAATATAAATTTCTCGTCTTTTAGCAGTAGACATTCATCTATATTTTCCTGCTCCAAAAACTCAACTACCTCATTTCGCAGGTCAAAAAGTCTGCAAAGACTTACACCTCGACTTAACCACCTAACTTCTGTGAATAGTTTTAAATCACAGTGTTGTGCCCCTCTCCTTGTAAAAAAACCAACGAATTTTCTATGGGTAAGCGAGTGATGTCCGCCACGAATTCTATTAATTATTTTTTCGGCAACTTTCATCGCTGGATGGCCCGTAAGGAATTTTGATGCTAAAGCCAGCTAATGTGTAATGCAATGGAAGTTTTCAAACCTAAAACCCTGCTTATTTAATTGGCCTATGAATCCATCAGACTTTCCACACATAACATTGGCACCATCGGTGCAAACCCCAGCTATCTTATTTGAGTCTACCATATTTAAGAGATTGTTAAGTACTGCCTCAAATAATAATATGCCTGTTACATTTGTGTTCATTGACACTAATATATACATGCTTTCAGTTACTTGGTAATTGGTGTCAACAGATCGCACACAAATTAATAGTTGACTTATGTCGTTTATGTCTGTACTTTCATCTATACAAAAAGAAAACCGTTCGCAACTCGATAAATTGTCTCTAATTTCTTTTTCAATGCAGGTTGCCAAAGAAACCCCATTACGAGCAATACTGGTACGCGATAATAGTAGAGATTGCGTAAGTTCAACACAAACATGCAATTTCTCCATTATCTTTTCAAGAATATTTTTAATAAATACGCCATCGCTGAATGGTCTCCCCTGTTTTATTATATCAAGACTTATAATTCTTGAAATTTCATTTTTCAACTTCCTACTTTTCTTCTTATTATTTTCCGCACCAATCAGCCATGTCTTTAATTTATTTATTTATTATAGGTCAGCTGAAAATGTGCACTTTCGGTTGGCCACCAGAAATCAGCACCGGCCATGGTGATGGTGTGGGCCGCCATAACAGCCGATGGTCGCTCTCCGCTCGTATTAATTGACCGTGGCATCAGAATAAATGCTGAATATTATCGCGAAAATATTCTGGCGGTGTATAAAAGCCTTAGGCATGCAAACATTTTCCTACTTTCATTTCCAGCGCACAATGGCTACCAAAGTCTCCGGGTATCAATCCGTTGGACTATTGTGTCGGGAGTATTTTGGAAAGCAAGGTTGGCACTAAAAAACACCATAGTGTCGTGTCGATCACCTCAAGCAAGCGCTTCGCCGGGAATGGACCAAAATACCACAGAGCAACATTCGGTCAGCGTGTGACGGTTTCATTAGCCGTTTGATGGCCATAATTCGTGTCACAGGTGACTAATTCGAACAAATCTAAACTGATTCTAAAAATTGCTATTTCCGACATTGTTTGCTTTCATTCAATAATATTTTAAAAAATGAAAAAATATGGTGTTGGACTTTGTTGCTTATTTTGTTTTTTATCTCACCCTGTACAGAACAAGTGAAAAAAGGGTATTTTTGAATGCACGGAAATTTGTATAGCCTACACCATGAAAATTACTGGTGACTACAGGATGCTGGTTGCAGTGGTGAGGTAGGGAATTGAGAGTCATTGAATTAACTAGGAATGTGTTGGATCTTATTGTGTTCCCAGTAATTTTTATTTATTTCCCTAATCATGTGGGATAGTTGCATATAAACTGAACATTTCGCAATTATATTTACCATTTTAAGCATACTTTTAGGCGCTTTCAGGCAATTTAATATCAAAAAAATTAATTTTTTGCAGTCGGTGCATATTTAATAGAAAATGTGTCTCCAGCATCGTATCGAACAAATGTCACATGGACCAAGAGTTCCAGATTGTTTTGGAAATATATGTTTTGCTTTCAGCCAATAAAAAGGTGATTGGTAAAAGTTTACGTCTAAGATTTTAAGGCAAAGCTATAACTCTGGTCTTAAAGAACAACAATTTGAATAGGAAACTTTCCAGGTCGGGAATGAGAATTATAAAAATGTGTTTTTATTGTTCCTCTTCCCATGCAAGTAAATGCCAATCAGTTCTAAATTCAAAAAAAAAAAAAAAAAAAGTCCAAGAGTTTACCAAATATTCGTACAATTTGAGGTCGTATCTGGTTGTTCTATACATTTGTAGGAATCTAAGGAATATTTTATCAATTGCAGTTAAAAAAAATTTTAAATGCATTGAGCTAACAATATTTGTTAGAAAACAAATTGGCTGATTTGATTAAGGGCTTATAGCTTTATTAAAATTATAACTGTTGTACAATCAATAGCATAATAAATTAAAAACATCAACACTATAAAGTCTCAACTCCCAGAAGTTTCTTTTTTTTTTGCTTTTTGTTCTATACGCCCGTAATCGTGTCTCATACACTTTTTTAAATACTCCTCTACACCAGGCAAATGCATTATTATAAATATCTTGATTATGTTTAAACAAATGGTTCAATATTGAATTCCACAACCGAGCAAGGATTTGTCAATTCAAAGGCTTGTAAAACCGTGGGATGCAGAACACCAATTTTACCAATGGCAACATTGTTCAACATAATATGGGCACAACGACCGGGGAAATAAGATGGATCTAAAAAAAAGAAAAAAATCATTACACGCGTTCAATGGCTTAATTTCCCAATAACATACCCTCAGCCGCCTGCAAGTAATAACCACTGTTCTTGGAGTTGGAAGATTTCCATGAAACCTCAAGCAATTGCATGACGCGATCCAACAGACCATGTACCACCTCAAAGCCGGCAGTTTTATTACAATTTACAGCACACAAACGTCTCTCATTGCGTGCTCCAACTTCAGTATCATCATCGGCCACAACGACATCACTAATCTCAAACAATTTCAAGGGCAAAGGCATTTTACGATTAGCCACCAAAGTTTTTAATAGACCCGGCAGTAGAGTTGTTCTCACAACTTGGAATTCTAATGTCTTGGGATTGGCTATATGTACTGCTGGCATATTATCTATGGATTTGTTTAATTTACGGGCAATGTCATCGCGTGAACACAAAGTGAATGTAAGTGCTTCAGTGAAACCAGCCTGAGCAACTTGTTCTCTCAATTGTTCAGTTAATTTATTCAAGGGATATTGTTTGGCAATATGCATAAAAGAGGGCAGCGATTTCCTAATGTTATTATAGCCAAAGGCAATGGCCACATCTTCGTAAATATCACATGCATGAATGACGTCATGTCTAGTGGGTGGTATTTTCACCTTAATTTCATCTCCATCAGCCTGACATTCAGCTTCCAAATACATGCGTGTCAACATATCGGCAATTTTTTCAGGACTCTCCTCAATACCTATGGCCAAATTTGCCTTTTTGGCCGAGATGGTTTCTTCACGAACCTCCAATTCGGGATATGTTACAGTTGTACCATCTGGTTGAATGACATCGCATGGTTCCACACTGAATTTATCTGTGCAATGTGCTGAGAACATACATACAATGGTGTCAAGTACAACTTTGGCTTTGGTCAAATCCGTGGCAGTACATTCAATGAAAACATTTTTGGTTTTCAACGAAATCTTGGAGTGATCGCCATTAATGACAGGCGGTAAGGACAAGACAACGCCATTGGAATCATAAATTACTGGATATACCGGAGAATCGCGAATAATGGGTAAATATTGTTTCAGCTGAGCGTGGGTGGAATAGAATTCCATTAATTCATTGCCATTCATGGATTTGGTTTGATTCAATGGAACAAAATTGATGTCAGCTGGAGCACGAGCCTCATACGTGAAAGGTCCTTGAATGGTATCCAAATCATGTGTACCAATGGCCACCAAAGTACGTTTACGGCAAATGTTCTGGTGTAGCTTGTCTTGGAGATCAATGAAGGAATCATAAGCCGCCTGGTTCAGGGTGATGTTACGCAAAACTGCGGCAACAGCAAAGGGACGAATTTGAGCAGTTTCAGGTAAGATCTTCAAGACTTGACGTTTGCCATCGGCGGGCTCTGATAGCTTGAATTGTGGCGGTTTGATCCTTAAACAAAAATCAAATGATAACTTTTATCAGCGCAAATCTATTGTCTTTGACTTACTTGCCCTGGAACACCAAAAGACCGGTGACCAAACCCTCCATACACAACAAATCATAACGATTGGCCGGTATATCAATGCGATAGATGATTTCCTCTGAAGCATCAGCAGCCCCAGCAGCATCATCACCCTGTTCACGGGTTAACATTTGCTTCTCAGTGGTCACTTCATCCAGTTCCAGACCGAAGGCAAAACACAATGTTTGAAACTCATCATCAGCTAAAGAAAAGAAAAACATACACACGTTACACATTTATTTTCCACAGAATTGCCCAATTTCTCTGTGAGATATTACTGTATTTTTTGCCCAATGCCTCGAACAAGAGATCACGTTTAACTCCGATAGTCGGCATGTTTTATTTTATTGATTAAATCCGCGAATATTTAACCCTTTTTTCCTGGCCACGAATCCGATCCGGAGATGTCGGGGATAAAATTGCACACGCGTTAAAATATTTGACAGCGGTTTGTTGTTATGCTGCTTCTTATTATTGCAGTTAATGCTAACATTGAATTGATGACACGGACGGCATGCAACTCTGTTGTTCTAATTGGATTTATTGGTGGTTGCTCTCGAAATGAACGTTATATTTTAATATGATTTTATTGTTTGCCGACATATTTTACTAAACTAATGGTTGGATAATATAATATAAAAGTCATAATATCTCATAGTTTATGTGGATGGTGGCTTGGTTTACTTATCAAATTTAGGTTTAATTTTTTAATGCAAAATATAGAATATAATACAATTATATTAGAATCACTCTGTGTATTTTTTCTAAAATAAATTGTGACGCATCTTTTATATGTTTTTTTATAATTAACATTTTTTTTGTGTGTTAATACGGAGCCCAAAGTAAATTACAGAAAATGCAGAGATGGGTATGATTATTTGAAATGACTTTACCTTCTTAATTTTACAATGGCTATACCTAGAAATGTTTCAAAGAGTTGAAAAGACAATAACTTCAAATGCAACTTAAATTAAAAATTGTTGGCAACTGAATCTGACATTCTTCTGCAATCTACTGACGTATGCTGAAGCCAGCAAACATAACGTGGGAATAGTGATCGCTACCTTGAGAGAATATCCAATTTTTTTTGCCCAAAATATAAGTGCTTGTCTTGCGTGTAATGTGTTTAAAAAAAACAGTGGACTTACTAGGAGGAAACTTCGGTGGACATTCTGTTTCACGTTCGGGATCGGTCAATTGGCCTCCTAGATGCCTTTAAACTATTTTTTGTAGGGGTAATGTCAAAGCTTATGTTTAAACAGACGGACCTGCTTCAATTGGCGCATTGTAATACAACTTCGAATCATTTATTTGTAAGATACCTACCGAGATGCTGCGAGATGCATTTTCAACATTTGCATTAAATAATTAAACATTAAATCTTAGTTATTAACAAATATTACGAACACCTCAGCCATATGGCTAGAGAAGGTATACAGGGTGAGATAAAAAAACTGCAACAAAATAAAAAAAAATTACATTTTTTTTTTAAATTTTATTGAATCAAAACAGAAAATGTCGGAAATAGCATCAAATTGTAGATGTTTAGATTTGTTCGAATTGGTCACCTTTGGCACGAATTTTGGCCTTCAAACGGCCAATGAAACTGTCACGCGCTACCCGAATATTGCTTTGCGGTATTTTGCCCCATTCCCGGCGAAGCGCTTGCTTGAGGTGATCGACACTTTGGTATTTCTTAGTACCAACCTTGATTTTCAAAATACTCCAGACACAATAGTCCAACGGATTGGTATCCGGAGATTTTGGTGGCCATTGTACGCTGGAAATGAAGCGAGGAACCTCAGTTTTGTAACCATTCTTGGGTGGCGCGTGCTGAGAGCGATGGCGCTGAGTCCTGTTGGAATGTCTAAGGTCTGCGGCCAAAATGTTTCCGTGCCCAAGGCTTTAATACACCCTCCAGAATATTTTCGCCACCGTCGATTAATACGAGCGGTGAGCGACCATCGGCTGTTATGGCGGCCCACACCATGACCATGACCGGCGCTTGAGTTCTGGTGGCCAACCGAAGGTGCACATTTTCAGGCGACCTCTTTGGTAAGTAAACACGATCAAACTGCTGGACAACGAATGTTTTCTCATCGGAGACTGAGAAAACCAAATTCGGCAGTTCACCAATTTCGGCCAAGCGAAGCAACTCTTTAGCTCTTTTGAGTCTATTTTATTTCTGTTGCGGTGTAAATTCTTGCACTTTTGGAATTTCAATGGCTTTATTCCGAGGTCATTTTTCAATATTTGCCAAATGGAATATAGCGATATGTTCAGCTCACCAACCATTTTTCCAAACTTAGATCGAATTCGGAGATGGGCAATATCGGTCCACTCCTTATGGTACCTCCCCCACAAAAGGTCGAAAATTTCAAAATATATATTTTTTTGCACAGAAAGAGAAAGGATAATCCAATTTTGCTCCAACTTTGCAAATCTTAATATTTTCGTCAGTGCTAGGTCTGGTATTAAGATGGAATATATCAGTCCACTCCTTCTGGTACCTCCCTCGTAAAGGGTCAAAATTTTGAATAATTACAACTTTCATAAATTGTAATGCAAGAGTCCGATTGTCTTCAAATTTCACACATCCTACAATTAATATGAACCCAAGATCTGGTAGTAAGACGGAATATATCGGTCCACTCCTTCTATCTCCCCCACAATGCTCAAAATGTTGAATATCCATGAAGTTCATAAAAAGCGAAATCAACATCCGATTCCATTCCAGACATGGTACATCTCAATATTTCCATCAACACAAGATCTTTTATAAAGATGATATAGATCGGTACCTCCCCCACATAGGGAGTGAAATAGGCATCCAACTCTTTTCTAATTTCACACTGACAAACATTTTTGCTAACACAAGATATGTTGTGAAGATGACATATATCTGGTACCTCACCCACAAAGGGCCACAATTTAAATTTTTTTTTATCAGGGTACACAAAACCGACTGATAATTTTTAGCTTGTTTTTTCATAAGATTTTTAATACTAACAATTGTTATATATATATAACAATACTAACAAGTGACGATGCATCAACATGCATTTTTCTACCATGTTAAGCTACTACATGATTTGCGGAAGTTTTATGCCATCCTCCTACAACTTGTCCTGCTATACTTGTTTAATCAATTTTTAATAGTTCAAATTTATTTGAAAATGGGGTGTAAGAGTATTACTTGTTAAATAATTTTCTGATGTTTGCCGAATTGGCAAAGGATGCAACTCTTGACCTTGTTAGCAAATAACTGCATATGTCAGGAGGTTTACGATCTATGCGGTGTCCTTTTCCAGAGGAACTACTTATTATCCTTTCTTTTTAATTTACTGATCCGACTTTAAAGACTTCTCCTTAGTATCTGTGCAATTATGCCTCACTAATGATCCCTGTACCATTCCACAATGATAAATGATTTGTTTGCACAAAATATGGTAAGAATATTTTCCATTGATTTGTAAATTAGATCACAACTACTTCCGCTGGCAAGATAAGAAAGGGTGGGCGTGACTGGGAAAACAAGAGCACTCAGGCCGACAAAGGAGACAACGAAAACGGAAGATGTGTGAAAATATCACACCATTCTAAGTACACATTGATATGAAGGTCATTGCAATGATGAATTAGGTGTTGAGGATGCGTGGAAACAAGTGTTGAATTCAAGGACAAGTATGTGCAAAACTACAAAAAAAAAACTGTCGACAGAAGTTTTCCCATAGGTGCTATTCTGTTATGGCTTCTTTGGGAATATTTTAATTGGTTTTGTCTGGATTTGCTGTTTTTATTCTTAGTCCCTTTTTTTGATAAACAAGAAGTCAATTGCTACTTTAACACTTGTCTATACGATTTTCGTTCATGGCGACCCAAATCGCCAAAGGAACATCATGTCAACAATATGTCTTACACGGAAACCCCAAATTGCCTTTTGAATTGTTTATACAGGGAATTTTATTTTAATCCTAACCTTAGAAAAATACATCAAACCATGGGAGTCTCTCTTTCACTCTCTCAATTTTGGCAACACAATATGTGGCAAAAGTGAATTTTAAATTAAAAACAAACAAAATTGCCTTCTAAGAAATTGGCCTTTCTCAAATGAGCACTAACAGACAGAGAGAGAAAGAGGGGGAGAGATAGAGAGAGAAAGAGGGAGAGTGGGAGTTTTTACCTGTAACAAGTGCAAGCAATGCATTTGGTGACAATGACATACAACAACAAGAAAACATCCCAAAGGAATACCCAAGTAAAATTCAAAGTGGAGGAGACAGAGGAAAGGAAAGTGAAATTGAAAATTACAATTACAATTTGAATAGAATTCAATGTTAATGATCACAATCTTAGCTATTGACAGTATTTGAGTTGTCATCTCTCTGGGCTTGCTCATTGAATGCTGTGTTAATTTAAAATCCTCATTGTTTTTGTTGTCTTGAAATTATAAATTAAGATTTCTTTACTTTTTTTGCCCCTTTTGTCCATTGTCCATTTTTTCGGGCTTGTTATGTGTTGACATTTTACACTTACTGTTGTGTTGTTGTCACACAATGTAATTCTATCTGATCAACGAGATCAGATCCTTTGGATTATCATCAGCTCTCGCTCGTCCATTGGATTTGTGATGCAATGTTGTTGTTTTTTGTTTTTTTTTTATTTTTTTCTCTTGACAACCTTGGTTTTTTTAGGTACACTTACTAAAGTTACCATCCTCATCCCCTCAGTGTTATCCCTGTGAGGTCTTCACATTTTCATTCTTCACAATAATTTAATTCGATATTTAAATCGATAATTAACAAGAAGCTAAAAAGTGAAAACACGGCCACACAAAGAGTCTCTGGACTTTCTCCAGATTTACATTTTTGATTTCAATTCATTGGAAATATGAGAAATGAGATTTTGAAAATTAGCCACAAGGACATTGATGGCACTAAGGGGATTGAATGGGAGTTTTAATGGAGATGTTAGTTTTAAGGATTGTCAAGAAAAATGGATATTAGAATTCAATGATGTATGATTTTACGAATGAAACGAATGGATTCAAGGATGTTTTGTGGCAATCTAAGAAGTACTCACCTCGATAGAATCGTCATATTAGGGGGACAAGATAAACCAAACTTCAAAACAAGGCCAAAAATAAGGAGATGAGCAACTTCGGGCCCCTATTTCTGGTACCTCCCCCACAAAAGGTCAAAATGTTCAAAGAAAATAATTTACCTCATAAAAAGAGTAAGGATCATTCAGGTTTCCGGTTGAGAGAAATATTTAGATATAGCAAGTTGTAGAGAATCGTTGACTTCATTTGCAAGTTATGACAGATATAAGTATTGGAAATTGTGTCCCATTGTGGGTGAGGTACTAGAAGGGGTTGGCAGTGTATATCATCTTCACAACAGATCTTGTGTTGGCAAAAATGTTTGTGAGTATGAACTTTGAAGAGAGTTGGATGCTTATTTCGCC